TCAAAGTAAAGATATAAATGTTTAATAACAAATAAATGACAATCATCATCGCTGTATTACCATTCATAATACATCACAATAAAATATAAATACAATACACTAAAACATGATAAATATATCTATAAAAAAAAAAATTGCAAAAACAAAATAAGAAAATCGCTTTTCATTTATTTGTTTCGACTATTTCCTTCCTTCATTAATAGGCCTACAACTAATTCATAAGCTTAAAAGCGAAACTAAATGAGAAATACAGCAAATAATAAATCACAACGCATTTCATTTACTGTAAGCCTATATCCATGGCCATCCTCACTTCATTTATATGTATTGTAAATAAATAAAAATTACTTATAACCTCTGGACTTTCTGTCTGAGACTGCTAATTAAGACGGAAAATTATTTTTTTCTGATGTACCGTACTGTATCTTGAACCATTTATATATCAGTTTACAAGATATGGATTAAGAAAAAATTATCAATGATACTGTATTTATATTTTGTCCGTTACATTTATATAAAAATAATTTTTGTTTATCATTTAATTTTTATGCCATAATATAAATCTGAATGAGACAACACATTGTATTTACTCTTGTTTATTTCGTCTTCCTCTGTTTTATGCATGTCCATAATTTCGTTCATACTGTACAACTTCATGCAAAATATTTATCATATTTCGTCGTTTGGTAACGTAACTGCGTGTTGGCACTCTATCACTCATTTGTGATGATGGTTGACAATAAAGATGCGTACTATAGCAATTACCATATTTGAAAAAAATACACTACAAAACGCATTTTTTACTATGTTTTTATCCATATTTCGTCAGTTTCCTTCAATCCGTAATATAAATCAGAATGAGACACAGCACATTGTTTTTACTCTTGTTTATTTTTATTTTATGCATGTCCATAATTTTATTCATACAACTTCATGCAAATTATTTATCATTTCATCGTTTGTAACTTAACTGCTTGTTGGCACTATATCGCTGATTTGTGATGACGGTTGACGATAAAGATGCTTACTATAGCAATTACCATATTTGAAAAAAATACACTTACAAAACGCATTTTTTACTGTATTTTTATTCATATTTCATCAGTTTCCTTTATCCACAAAATTGAATTTCGTCAAATAAAATTTAGAATGATACACGTGCACAAATTTCGTCCTTTATCCACAAAATAAAACATTTTTTTTAATAATATTATTTTTATGTCTGTTGTCTGTTCATGTTATCTTTTCATACAAGATCGAATGTAAAATAACACATTAGCAAGGGTGATGAAAGTGTGTTATTTACAAGAGTTGGAAAATAGAAACAACTTTTACCTTTAACAATTATTATCGTCAAAATGTTTAAAAATCTTGCAAATATGTTGCTTGTGTTAACCATGGTGTAAGTGGCAGCGCAAAATTTGCCATGTTTAATTTGTTACAATTTTTTCACAAATTATATAATTTTATCACTGAAATTTTAACACACTATTAATATTAATTGTTGCGATATGTTCTGTGTGTATAGGCCTATCTGTAACAATGTAAGCTTGAGCGTTTCTGAATTTGAGGTTAAGAATTGAATAAATATAATAGCGCTCATTCAAACACTGTATATCAGCGTGACAAACGGACCCTGACAAACAATAGCGCGCATTCAACCTCCAATCGGCAAAGCACTCAAAGGGCGCTCCATACATTTTGGTGTTCGACAGGGCGCGGCCGAAGTTGGCCTAAAGCGCGCTGTGTCCCTTTCTTTATTTTCTAGGCCTGGCCTAGGCCTAGGCCTAAATGAAGTCTGCCTAAGCCCCTATAGCCTAGTTAATAAATAAACCATTTTCACTCACCGATTTGACCGTGAACGGTTACATAAAGACTAATTAACGTAACCCAAAAAGTAATCATTGTTTCAATGGAAGACATCATGGAGGGAAAGGTTAATAACTATGTTAGACTTAAGCCTAGACTGGATTCAGTTTACTTGTTTCCACACCGTACAGTTCGCAGAGACAATAAAATACCACCAAGATGTCACTGACAATAAAAATGTATTGTTGTTTTTGTTAGCTTTTTCAACCGCCGACCTTCTTGTCTGGCTCTAGAGGGCGACATTCGATTACTCAAAAGAGTTGCGACCTTCCACTCCTTGGTTTGCGTTGAAAGTCACGCAGTACACACCGTCTATTTTGTGTCATATGATTTTTAAACACATGCAAAGTATTATGTGAAACGTACATTGCAGAGATCCCAAGTCTCCCGAAAATCGCGGGTTTCTCCCGACTTTTGAGGCCGTCTCCCGCCCTCCCGATTTTTATTAATATCTCCCGATTTTTAAAAATATCCCGAAAATTTCACGAAAAATATGATTTCCACGATGTCATAGAGCAATGAAACAAAAATTCTTATCTTTTTAAGCCATATACTATGGCGCTCGCTCAGCCATAAAATGTCATAAACAAGGCCAGGAAGTTGTTATTTAAGTTGTTTATCAAAATAACAACTCCAGGGCAATGCAGGCGTGGTAGAACCGCCTTGTTTATCCTCCCATGTTACGATCTTTTGCATCCAGCGCCGACCTCATTCAATGAGATGGCTGTCAGTTAAATATAATTTATTGGCTCATTTTCAAAGCAGAGGAACACTCTCACGCAGGAAAGGTTCGACCATACAACAGAACAAAAGTTACAAGTAAAGATAAATTCATAAAAAAAAGAGACAATAGTAATGAAAAATCCAAATCCAATTAAAATAATATAA